ATTTGGCGTTAATAAATTGATCGAAATTTTTTAGAAAATAAATAATAATCGAAAGTATTTATAACTTTTAAAAAATTTATTTTCATATATATTTATTTATTAAAATTTGATTTATTAATTTATTTTTTAAACAAGTAAGAAACTAAAATAAAAATTAAAACATATTTTATGCGATTTTGTAACGCATAGCACATTTCATATTATTTTATATCGTGCAATTCTTTATTGCAGGTCAAGCGGTCAAAGATCTTCTGGTAGTTCATCTAGCTGGCGAAGCAAGTAAACTGGTGGTGTTTGCGGACTCTGAGATCCGCGCAGTTCCCTTACATCATTGTGACTCACCTGCTGCGGCTACTTGCAGATCTTGCGTCGCCTTACAAGATCCTCATTGCGCCTGGGATGCAACCGCGAACCTCTGCGTGGCGGTACTGACGAAACTCCACGACAACGACGCCGACAAGACACTGTTTCAAGATATCCCGACCGGTAGACATAGAAGCTGCGGGCATGAGCCAGGTACTGTCTTTGATGTAGACTATATTGTAATTGTTATCGGGATTATTCCCGGAAATGTGTGAATATATGTATAATATATTATGGTATACCGCTATCTCTCTCTCTCTCTCTCTCTCTCTCTCTCTCTCTCTCTCTCTCTCACTGATTGCTTGTTTAATAATTTTATGACTTGATCCTCTCTTTCATTTTATTTTTTATTTTAACTTCCTTGTGCTACGACGAATACAAAGTTGTACAAGTTGGTCGAATAATATAAATTTTTCGAACTTGAAACTCAGATGTTTTTACTTCTGTCTGAATATTTCGAGAGCACGCAGTTTACTCAAATTTATTTTTGATTATTGGTTTAGGACAAGTAACAAAGTTGTGCTTTTTATACGTTATATACGAATTCAACGTACGGATTTTACAAAGTTTCGAAATTTTTCGAAAAGTTTTCTGTGCAACTTTTGATATATCGTAGTCTATTTAACCTTGTATTTTCAACGCGAACAATTAATTTTGTTCCTCAGCATGCAATACTCATTCCTGCGAAAAGAGGATCATAAAATTATAAAGTAGGAAATTAAAAACTTAAATAGAAAATGAATAAAATAGGTAATCTTTTTGAAATTCACAAAACTTTCTTAAAAACTCTTCTACTAAGTGTATTTATTCTAATTACACTTCCTCCACTTTGTTCACACTTCCTCCACTTTGTTCACACTTCCTCTTTCCTATAAGCTTGAATATATGTATAGCTATTTTAAAACGTAAAAAATAGAAGATAGACAACTCAATATAAAACCTAATATGTAACAATCAAGATATGTGGTCATTTTTTTGTGGACACGCTTTTTCGTCTAATACGCTGCTAAAGAATACATGGACAATAAATTTTTTGGGACAACTTTTTGTAACTCCTAGCAAACATCAAACTGCTTCACATCTGACTTTTTCTTGTTTTGATTTTACATGTAATTTTATTTAAAAAATCAGAAAAAAGGATTGAAAAAAAATTTATTGGAAGATAGCGTTTATCATAAAAAGAACAAAGCTGAAAGTATAAATATTTATAATAATATATCCAAAATATCTATATAAAATTTGAATAAAAAAAAAATTCAAAAGTATATGTACGCTATATGTACATATATGTCAGATCTGAAACAATCAAATAATATTTTTCGCATGTTCAACTATGCTAAGAATACTGTTCGCACGGCTAACACAGCTCATGATCAGCTATTTCATAATATACATATCTATTCATGCGCTAGGTGTTATGTATATTTTCGCATCGTTTCCAGGTCGGGCGCATCAGATATTAATGATGGTTAATGTACATCATGACTTCGACTGTTTGAAACTGTATTTGAAATTGAAGTTTAGAAATTGCAAATATTTTACATGAAAAGTTAAAAAGCAGCTATTAAATTAATCCAGAAGAAAAATAGATTTTAAATATTTCACTTCACAGTCATGATGTACGAATGTCTAAATGTCATATTTAGGGCTACAGTCCACTTGATGTTACAAATGCTTCGAAACATTTTTTGATTGGTCAGTTAGTAAAATTCTCTCTCTTTCTTCCGATTGATCAATCAAAAATTTCGAAACATTTGTAGTGTCAAATGGACCGCACCCTAGTAGTATAGTAATAGTAGTAAAATGAGCGGGTAGAATAGAAATTAATGGTCGCGTAACCATCTATAAAGTCTTTTTGTCATAAATGTGATATCTAAATCTAAATCTGTAAATGTCGAGCGTGAAGGCATACATGGTATCTAATGTACGCTGCAATAACTATGCGAAATCATTTTATACGTAATCATCTGTCGTCTGTCATCATATTAGTAAATGTTACTCCAGAGGTAACGAAGTCCGTCCAACCAGCAGTGGCGCGCGAAATTGGGCGCGAAGAGTCCGATGGGGAGAATGAAATCATCATCGAATTGGATCGGGAAAATCAGTACGGTCGTACACAGCCAAGGGCTAATGAGCCTCAAGGTAACCAACATCACCACATCACACTGATATAGTTCAGTTACCTACAGTGTTCGAAAATCCCTCTCATAGTATACGATCCCGCTTTAACTGATTCTCCTGTCATGGTATTTTGTTTTCCGAAGCGGACTTATTTTTGTGTTTGCAACTAATGTCTTATTGGTATGCTAACAGAATGATTCATTATTGATGATTTAACTGAGAAAAGAAATATCAATATAATTTTTCTTTTTCTTTATATGTAGCTTTGGTTTTTTTTTTAAGAAAAAAACAAGGTTAGAAAAAGTGAAACAATATCTTTTCTATATATTTTAAGATTACATAATTTTTACATTATCGATTAATTTGTTTTAATTATGATTTTCTGTTCTTCTCTCTTTTTCTCTATTTACTAAAATAAAAATATGGTTTTAATATTTTACAAAAGCGTTATTCGACAGTCGTAATTATTTTCTATTTGATTATTTTATTGTTTTAAATGCAATTAATTTTTTATAGCAACTATAAAAAACACGTTGAACCATTTATGTTGCAATGTAGTTAAAAATTGTTTAATTGAAATTTTTTAATAAAAACGATATCACTTATTTATACTATAACTGTTATGTAGGTATATTTTTCGATTTTTTAAATCGATTTTCTTGAGAACGAAGCATTGTATAAAGAAATTTTATTCAGTATTTGAATATGTAGAATTAGCATCTTTTTTTCTTGATTATATTAGCAAAATACTTAATTTTGCTTCTAACGAAACATTCTGTCACATTTATTGTACGGGTGATGTTTACAAAGATTAACTATGTTTTTATTGTTTGTATTATTATTCATTTTTCTTATTCGCTTTAATTTTTCCCTTCCGTTCCGAACACTAGAGACAAAACGCGCGAGCAGTTTTCGCAAAAGACAATCCTAATATTTAGTGTTCTTCAATTTGTTGCATTCTGATTACAGGCGTGACCGTAACACCGGTAGTATATTCTGCCCAAACATTAACGGGTGCGCTAATAGGGACCTGTTTCTGTTCTCTGGTGGCTGGTTTCGCCTTTGGTTTCTGGTTCTCTCAGAGATTACGCGGATCGTCATACCCAGAACCCTCCGAGCAACGACAACAACTCAATCGACTAACAGAGAGCTCGGAGTCGCCTGGATTCAACAACAAGTCCATCAATCTCGTGCTGAATGTGCCGCCCAAGAATCCGAATGGCAAGAACGCGAATTCGTCCGCGGAAAACAAGCCAGTACAAAAGGTGAAGAAAACGTACATATGATACAGAAGGCGACACAGAGCCGTTTGAGGCTTGCCACAGGACCCCACGGGTTCTGGCGCATCTTCCACCTCCTCTTCCTCCGACCTCGCGGAATCGGATGAGCGCAACGACGAGGACGGCGACGACGACGAGGACGACGACGGAACGACGCCCACAAGCCTCACCACCGGTATCGCCACGGATCATACTAACAACACGCATAAGCCGGACGAGGATCACTACGAGGATCATTATGAGAGTATCGGGAATGATGAGGTCTGCACACTCGAATACTTCGATGGTTACGATACGCAGCAACGATCCGCAGAGGCTCAGAGATGTAGTCAGTACCATCAGTCCGAGTCCGACTGCGTCGAGACGACATTGATGAACGCGCCGACGTGCGAAGAATCCGGCGGCAGCGACAGTGCAAACAGTTTTGACGATCTCTGTGGGCGACATCCTACCATCGAAAATGATCTATTCGATCGGCACGGTGTGACGAGCAACGCGAGGGATCATTATATGGTGCCCACCCGAAGTCCCCGTGAACTTAACGAGAAAATCCTATCGCTCTTTAATCCGCAATTCCTGCCAAACTTCAACAACATGGTCACGTACATGGCCGCGCATAGTCCGCCACCGCGATCTCAATCCATGGCCCAATACAGCAGGGAGGACGACAATTTCCTTCTTAGGGACAGGAACTATCGTAAACGCGACGATACGAACTCAGTGTGTTTTCGACGAGGACTTACTCACGAAGCGCCGCGAGAGTGACAGTACTTTCGCATCAGCGGACGAAGCGATTCGCTCTCTGTTTATGATTTGATTACGAGTATAACATCTAGCAACGTGACTTTGTGCATCTGAGATATTAGCAGTGCTAAAAGTGAGAAACTGTATGTATCTTCTACAACATTACGAAGAAGAGCCGGGAATTATTATGGATATGGTACTACGTGCAGCGAAACCCCTCTCCCCCTTTTCCCGTAGCTTCATAATGAACACGTGGCTGAAAGTTACGTCGGAAAATACTATCGTGATCACATAGCGACACGTAAATGTCGACGGCGAATAGTCTCGTGATAAGCCCAGGATCTACTTTTTTATAGTATTTTCAAGCTTTGCCAAGTATCGTCCGTCGCGCGATTCCACACTCGCAACTACCGTGGAATCATTCTGTATAGGATTCAATTTGAAGTCTTTTTCTTTTTTTCGTCTCGATAATAATAATAGAAAAAGTCAAATGTAAGGGAAAGCATATGCCGACAACAACGACGACGAAGATTGAATCGTAGTAATGTAATGTGATACCATATGAGGACTGTGTTCGTAGCAGTGGCCTGTTAGGTGCTTAGACTGATGCAAGATAAAACGAAAAACACTCTGTAGAGACATTTAAGCATTCGCGCGAAAGACGAGGCGTGCCTTCCGTGTATTAATTGTTGGCAGATCTTGATCTATAACAGGAACGGAGTGTTAATATGGCCGGTATAGATTCGGGCAAGTGCCTCATTTATGCGTTTTGTTTAAGATATTCAATAGAACGGAACGAAGTATAGAAGGAAAGAGAAAAGAAAGAGAAAGAGAGAGATCTAAGTAAGACTAATTTGAATATCATTGTGCACTTATTGCCGTGCTGTGAGTACTGGTAATGGCGGGGAATACGAACGAGAGTATGTTTATCAATAACTTAGCTCTCGCGGGCATATATAACGGCAACAGTATATAGTTTCTTCGAGGAATATACATGTTAAAAATGCTATGATAGTGCAAAAATTTACATAAAGTTACATAAAGTTGCGGCAAAAAGAAAATTGGAAAAAGAACGAAACGTACATAATTATATATGTATATATATATATATATATATTTACGACTGTATCAGTAATTTGCTAGGTGATATATGTATAGTAAATTCAAGCAAGACTTGCAAAGTTTTTCTCAGCTATTTTGGCTATCTGAAAACTTAACGAAATGTCATGTCATATTAAACAAATTTTAAATTTATTATTTTTATTCTATTTTTTTAATCTATTTAAAATCTATTTAATCTATTAAAAAATTAATTTGAATTTTATATTTTTGTTAATGCAATATTAATTGCGTACGATGTTTATGAGTAGAGCGCGAGCGTGGCATGGCAGACAGCGCACTGGCTTATCATGCCAGAGATCCCGGGTTCGATCCCGGTAGGAACCAAAATATTTACGCTCGTGTCTCCTCTCGGAAAAGGCCGGCAACCTCTCGAGAGTGTTCGTGCCTAGAGAAACACCTCTCGAAAAACCCGCCGTTCGGAATCGGCATTAAAACTGTAGGTCCCATATGCTCATGGCAATTGAATAATCAGGGTGCGCATCACAAGCATATGAGAGAGGTGTAACAGAGGTCTAACGTAAGAAGAAGATGTTTATAAATTGTCCAAGTATTGTTTGAGAAAAGTCGTAATACTGATCTTGTCGTATATATATAATTAACTTTAATTAATTTAAGTTTAGACGTGTTATATTTGTATGTTTAATTCGTAGCCACTTAAATGTTTTATACCTCTGCTATTAGCATGGTGACGCGATCCTCGAAGAAACTCTGCGAAAGGAACCGGTGTGCAAAATTATAGATAATGGCGTAAACTGATTCTGCTAGCATTATAATAACGACTGCGATACGATTACACGAGCGCATTTACTTGACAGCTCAATCGCGGACAGAGTGCCTCTAACGATGAGCGTCTTGAGAAGTTTTTAGATTATTAAAACGGCAGAAAATGCACTTTCAACATGTGTGAAATTATTCTGTGATGAGGTTTAATCATATCAGCAGTCTTGATCCATCTGTACGCTGATAAATATCTAATTAATTCTTTTATAACAATTTATATCTGTATCAAGGAATGTATCGATTTGAAAAACGCTTATTTAATAAACGTTAAAGTTAAGTTTAACATACCATAATCAGAACTCGCAAATACAATCTCGTACGTGTTCGAAAGGTACTTTCTGCTGTTTCATGCGCTATTTTCTCATCGCTCGTTAACCAACACTGCCGCGTAAATTCTAACACGCCTCGAGCGAACAGTACAGTAGACACCTTACCGATTTTCATCGATTGTCATTGAATGTTGGACGTTAAAAGATCAGGGTATAATGAAACGTTGTTCAAGTGCTTTCGCGTTCGACCATAGGGCTCGATGTAGATAGCCGCATATATGATGGTAACTGCGTGCTGTGTAAGCAAGAGGAGAAGTCGTGTAAATACATATAGAACTGTTTTTTATCGTTGAGATCATTTTAAACAAGAAGATTCATTCGTTATGCTACTCGTCACGCGGGCAGCAGTGATACATTGATATTATACATATTGCATTTTCATTGCTGCACATATACATATACATATACATACATACATACATACATACATACATACATACATACGTACGTACATATATACATGCATATATATGTGTGTACATAACATGTATATAAGATGTTAAAACTTTAAACCGGCAAATTTTTTGAAAAAACATAAGAGACATTAAGAGATAAACATTGTTTATTAATAATATTTTTTTTTTCGACAAAAAGTATTGTTAACAAAAATATATTTCACTTAAAATCATTTGTTAAAGTTTGTCAGTCTAATTTTTTAATATCCTGTATGTATATACATACATGTGCACATATATACGAGTGCATTTACGCAACACATATTCGTTTTTAATTCGCATAGACTATCCGTATTATAGTCTGCTACATCGAGAACGAATGTGTTAAATAAAAAGAGGCAGCTAATTAGATTTATGCGCTGACTTTGTAAAAGTCTGTCTTTCCTTAAATAAATTTTTGCCATGCCCCCGTTCGATCGATCCTGGCTGGCAAGCCTTTTATAAAATATAACGATGTTTGTGTAATAGAAACATCCGAACTAGGTACCTTAACACGAGATATATGACAGTAGCAAAGAATTGTTATACATTAATATTTCTAAATTGAAAGGGACTGGGGAAGCGTATAAATTTACATATGTATACAAATGTAATGTTAGAATACCATTTGCATATACGAACAATGTACATAAAAACAACGCTCTGTTTAAAACTGACTTTATCGTGCTTTTAAAGCTAGCCCTGTGTCATAAGAACGAAAGGAGATGAATTTCCAATTATGAATAGACTAGAAGCATTTATAAGCTTCTCGTACTTGCGTTAGCTATTTTATAATATAAATCGCGAGAAAAACTGCTAGATTCATATTAACATCATTTGGAATTTATAGTGGAATTGAACACATCGATAAATTACACAGAAAAATATTGTATTCAGACAACTGTTTAATACGTTTGCTATCAGCGTTGCATATGGCAAACAATAATTTACGTGATAAACCAAACATTTATTTTACACTGGAACAAATAAAATTACCTCATTATTATCGAATAATCTGTAAAAAATTATATCGTTTAAGTAACGTGCGTGATCTGAGATTATAATGTGGAGCACTTATTGTTTTGAAGCAATTTAAGTAGGCGACGCAGATATAGTATGTTTTATGACAAAAATTTTCAAAATCCAACGTAATATAATGAATATATTAATCATTTCAGAATATTGATACAGTTATCGTTAACATAGTAGTATGTTTTTTTGTATTTTAACTTAAAATATTTCTTTTTTAATGAATTTGAACGTAATTAATTTGAATCTTAAAATCAAATGAAAAGGTAATTTTACAAATATCACACAAAAAAAATATTAAATTATATTTTATGTAAAAGAATGTTTAGTTAATTCTCAATTTTATTTTTATGTCTAAACATTTAATTAAAAATATTAAATGCTAAATGTGTTTGTTTAATTTTTTCGAAAACGCATACCTATTCATTGTATTCGGCTTCCAATTATAGAAAAAATTATCGGTTGCGAAAGTATTAAGATAAGAATAAAAATAAAGGAGGTTTTTCCTTTAACATCAGCATAGAGAAACGTGAAGTAGTAGCCTGTGATGAAATTGTATTTTAATTGTCGACTTTGTATCTTTCTCATCTTTTATCGGTTTTATTATGTAAGATATTTATAATTTGCTATACACGCAACAGGACTATAAAAACTTTATTTTTTGGACATATATATATATATATATATATATTATATATAGGTATAGATTTGAAATGATTTATAAAAAGATATAAACGTTTCAATGTATATGAATATTCTTCTTTAACAAAATTATAATTTAAGGAATTTGGCTTCTCTATTAGCGTCAACGCAGAAATTGATAAAATATCACAGCAATTGTTTGATATAACTCAAAAGAAAAATATATTTCCGAAAGCAACATATAATTAGGACCAGCGGAAATCAAGTTGAGAGAATCAATGTACAGAATTTTAATCAGCTAGTTTAAAGAATTAAAATAAAGATGCAATATACATTTAGCTTGCGCAAATGCGAGAGAGCAACATTGTTATTAATAAATACAATATAAAATCGGGCGGCTTTATAATTTTAGATCAGAATTATTTGATATATTGCGATAGGAGAGAAAGGAACGCGTGAATATAATGCGACGAGTGTAACAATATGAGGCACGAACGACAACGGTATAATTACGTGACGCGATAGCCGTAGACTATATCGCTCGCATTAATTAGATAATATAATCGCAACATTCCATTGAAGCCGGGACTGCCAACCGTTTAATAAATACTGACCTGGCAGTGGGCGGTGCTGCGAGGAAAGCCGATAATACATGTAGATAATTAATTAATGTCTTTTTATTCATACTTGGAATAAAGATAAAACCGATTAAAACTTAAATCATTTATTTTATATCATGTCTAAAAACACCGTGTCGGAACGTTCCTTTTAATAAATCGAGAATTGTCACGTCTTGGAACAATACACGAAAAAACGTGTATTATTTAATCGAATATACAACTTGCACCGTCTAAATATACAAAGACATTTTTAGAAAGTAAAATTGATTTATTTGAACACATATATATGATATTCGGAGAAAAAATCCGCAAGCTTAATTTTTAATTTTGTTTTAAGTTAATCCTATTGCGGTGGAAAGAAAGCTTTTATTCATTAAAACTATAGAACTTTATTGAATATTTTAAATACATTTTTATGCTGTTTTTATACACGAAAGAAATTCACACGGAATAGAATTAGCGTGAAAAAAATTTTAATGTACAATTACTAAATGTTCTTTGAACGAAATAGACACATATTTTTCTTAATTGGCATGCAGCTGTTGAAAGAGCACAACGAAAACAAGTTCAAAAAAACTTAAATATATGTCATTCATAATTAATCGTATCATAAATCAAGTAATCATTAATTAATCGTAAAAAAATTTCTGATGAGCGCTGGATGGCAGTCCGGGCACACATCTTTGCTGTGCCAACGCAACGCGCATCTCTTTTATGTATATAATATTGTAATTCTAATTAATCCTTTAGATAAAATAGCTAAAAGCGTGCTACGTTAAGCGAAGGTAACATATAACATTCATCTTCATCGCTGATTAAAGTAATATTTATTTATCATCAATTAAAAAGAATGTTTCGGATAAACGTTATTCAGTTTCAAGGAAGCATATACATATTACATAGATACTCTTTATTTGTAAACAATTTTGATTGATATATTCCAAGAACACACAATATTATTTATTTTTAAATCAATTTCATTCATTAAAAAAGTCATGTAAAAAAGGAATCTAAAATCTGCATAATAACTATTTCGATATTTTCAATAAATGTAAGCATTTCTAGAGAATTATACTCGTGTAATAGGTAATTTAACATCTTTCTCTCTTTTTATAATTTTTTTTATTTTCAACGTTAAATATCTTGTTATTGTCATTTCTAATTTTTCTTTTTCTAACAATTTCTCTTATATTACCGAACTACATTACTTGAATTAAAAAACCTCGTTTTAATCGCGATTTTTTAAATATTTCGTAACTTATATTTCAATATATTTAAAGCGTTTCTTTATTTCTGTCGTAAAGATATATATTCCATAAATTCAAATGTTACAATAAACAATTGTCTAACTTAAAATATATGATAGTTTTGAAGTATTTTCCAGTTTTCTCTTTATTAATAAGCAAATAACAATGATTTTGAATATGATGATATTAGGCACAAAATAATATTCTCAAGAAAATTGTGTTATCTCTCTCCCAAGAAACTATTTTTCTCCTAAATACCTTTTCTAATTAAATAATTTTTATCTGAAATATTAATTGATGATATGTAAAAATATGTATCTGTGAGAACATCCCGAAGTTGAGGCACATAAGCGAGTCAATGGATAATTTTATGGCCGATTGAAAAATTTTGTAGATATAATTCCTCTTTGCACACATCTTCACATACGTCTTTCTAAAGCTAATAACGCGTTAATATAATTGTATGTAATTTCTATATAAATTGTCATGATTACAACACGGCACAACCATACAACGTATAGTATATCAAGTTTGTCACTGTACGCAGAATAATGACACATTTAACATTGTACCTACCCCAAATTGCGTACGTAGTATGCAAATTAATAACATAATTTGCGTACTACGCATACCTAATACGCTAGTATACTTTGTACAATAATACTCGTCTTTTAGGAGAACGATTATGATTAAAGAGAGCTTCGTTTCAACGTACCGAATGTCAACGTTATTTTAATGATTACTCTGATATTTCACGGACGGGATTATTTTTATTATTTTCCATTCTACAGTAAGTCTATTCGATCTTCCCTTCCCGTTTCCTTCCTTTTTTTACGAATTTGTATTTTTTAATGCGCCGACCCCTCCTCCCCTACCAGCGAACCGGAGTTATCGACAGCTCCATTTATTGTAAGTTTCGAAAGACTTGTACAATATGAATAATCAATAATAAATCAGTAATAGAAGCTTCGTGGTCCAAAATCAAAATAAATTGAAGTTGAAAATTATTTAGCTGTACCGAGTACGAATTATTGATGTAATAAATTGAAATTTCAGCTTTAAAGATAAGATTTTGTCAAAGGTGAAACTCAAGAATAAAGACGAACTAATCCTACAAACAGTTATAAAAATATTTAAAACTTCGATTCTATATTTTTAATTCTATACATATAACATATTTTGAATTACTAAATCTTTTCTAATTTGGCAAACGCTAAATTAACTAAGGGAAGGTAATATCATCATCCTATGGGTCTTTGAATACAAAGTAACGAGGAGGCAGACAAACTGGCCAAGGCAGGGATGATGGGGAAATCCATCTGACCATATTGTTATTCCTTTCACCAAAGATGAGAAAGTTAAGAAATATTTGGAGAAAGAATATCTGGCTAGATGGAAGATTTGTGACGGAGATGAAATCGGGTACAAAAGTTGGACACGATGTTATATCCGCGTGGATTAAATTAGCCAACAGGAATTGTGCGAATGGGATAATAATGCACGTTTCTGTACGATGTTACATAAGATTATATTTTGCAACTTTCTTCTCTGCGGTGTTCTTTTAGCGGGTCAGACCCATTAAAACGTGACAAAATGTTCATTCGTCATGATGCAGCATTCGATTCTTCTTTTGTTTTCCTTTTTAGCTTCCCAATTTGTTTCTTCTCTTTACGATGATCAATCAGTGTTTAATCGTGTTTGCCATCAATTTCAGACAGTCTCTCAAATATACCGATCGAAAGAAGCGCGTATACGTAAACGTTGTCGCAAAATCTACACTACTCACGATGGCGAACTAATAATCTTTCTTTCACACACTCATGCATTCTCTCTCTCTCTCTCTCTCTCTCTCTCTCTCTCTCTCTCTCTCTCTCATTTTGAAATACAACGCATATATACTCTTTTCATATTCATCCTCTCATCTTCTCGTAGCCATATAAAAAAAGCGCTCGGCTAGTGTAAATGGAAAATGAAAACAGGATTAATACAATTCCTCCCGGCTATCGCGAGTAGGAGCGCGGCGAATATTGTGCAAAGTAATACAATTGCGATGTTGATTAAAAGTCATATCAAGGAATCTTCTCTTCATGTTCATTTATGATTATTTTCAGTCTGTAATAATATACATATAATATATCAACTTTGAGATATTTTCAAAAAATGTTAAATCTCTCCCTCCGTGTATATATATCATAAATTAAAAAAAATAGTCTAGTGGAAATCATCGAACCATAGATCATAAAGAAACGTAAAATAAATTAATTATTCGTTATAATTAATATTTTTTAAATCGTGTTTAATATGTTTTTAATGCAACAGGCAATTTCTGCACAACATCCCTTCGCTATAAATGTAAAATACACACTACATGTACACATACATGTACACGTATATATGTGTATATATACGTACGTATATAATGAATGAAATTATAAACTAACATTTTGTTTAATGTGTTTCAATAATTAATAATATTAATAACATTAAAAGTAACTAATCCGTTTTTATGATAATTATTTTTATGATAATTACATATAACGAAATGTTCGCAGCGTCTATTTATTTGTTATATTTCTTACACACACACACACACACACACACACACACATACGTGTGTGTTGTGTATGTGTGTGTGCATATATGAGAGGTGTATGTAATGTATACATACATACACACATTTATGATGCGAGCTTACACTTGTATAATTGTTTTGTAAAGTATTTACAATTGCAGAAGGGTATGATTATTTTGTAGGCACTATGGCTTTGGACGTACACTAAGTTGTACGTTAGGGTACATCCTTGAGGGACTTCCAGACAATTTTTCCAGTGTATCCTTGAGATCTCGAGGAACAAGAAGAGATATCTCTACACGAATCTCGCTCAATAAAACAATTCCAGCACCACGTTACTCGACAGTATTCAAGTGTTCACCGGCAAGAAACTATCTTTAAAAAAAAAATCCCGTTATCAAGTTCAGAACAGTACTACGCCTTAAATCTTAGGCGTCGTCTACAATACACGGAGTAAGCAGTAAGAGTAAGAAATTGACCAATCACAGTCGATTATTCTTCTCACATTCGACTGTGATTGGTCAATTTCTTACTCTTACTTCTTACTCCGTGTAGACGGGCCTTTACGATCTTAGACAATATGTTCGTTGCGAATTGGAATTAAATACGCATTTAAATATGAGACAATATAGTCTAAGATCTTTCACTCATTTTTTCACCACTGTACATGTGTACGTTTTGACTTTATTTACGTTCATCTTCGTGACATTCAATAAAAAGTTGATCAGAGCGTGTGACTCCTATAATCGATTAATAATATAATTATTGTTATAAAACGATTACTATTTATCGCGTTTAATTTCCCTTCCACTGAATAACGAGGAATAAAATAATATATTCAAAACGGAAAACGTTTATTTATCTTGATTTGCCATTCGACCGGTTAAAGTTACAAAAGCACGCGAAATAAGACTATCATATTGTCGAACGATTTATTAACAAGGCAACATGTATCCGTTAAAAAAAAAACATACATCGTCCGAAGGAAGGACGACGGACTCTAGTCGCATATAATTAAAAAAAAAAATCATCCGAGTCTCAATAATACGCACACAGTCATTTTTCGCGCGCACGAAGTAATCCTCGCAATCTCGTCTTTCTTCTCTTCCTTTCTTCATTAAACAAGACTTTATATCAGACAGAATTCGATGATTTTAACCGTCTCATTCATTTTACAATTGGACAACTACGAAAAGCAATTAGATCGTTGTCCGACACGAGTACAGTCTGTCCTCTCTCTGAATTCCCAAATACATTCTCTCTCCTATCTCTTAGCACAATTTACAATATTATTACAGATTGCACGAAAAAGCGCCTTCGCTTTTCAACTTTTCTCTTCTTTCTTTCTCTCTCTTATACACATACGCATGCACACACACGACACACACATACACACACACGTTTACACACACTCTTCCTCTTTCATCTCTCTTCTGTCTCTTTGTCTAATATCTTTGCAATCCATTCCGCAAACGTGATCAACGCAAACCATTTCAAGCCGGAAGCACACATTAACAATATTGTGATATGTTTATCCTGTGCCTCGGCGGTTCGGCTCTTTCACACTGAGAGTTTATGGTCCGCAATAAGAAATTAAAATCGTATAACCACGAAATATTCCAGAATGAAACATGAGTACAAAAAAAAACGTAAAATATTAAAATGTTCTGGTGCAGACAGATAAATAATATATTCCTTTATAGTTTTTATGTAGAGCATACAGTAATAAACGACGTAAAAAATCCTGTTACCGAAAAATATAATGCATTCCATGTGATATATCTTTGATTTCAACAGGATGCAATTTATGAAATTGCATACCTCGACTATTTTGTTGCTATTCTTTTAAGCCTTCTTGTACTTTTGGTACAAAAAATACGAAAGTAAATTCCAGATATAAAATGGTGTGCTTAAAGAAACAATAAATAAATAAAAATGTCTTTGTACGTTTGCAATTTTTCGCGAAGATCGACGCGCGGAACGAAACTGCCAACTATCATCACTATGTAACGCGAAGGCGCATTGTAAAACTGACGAAGCAGTTCCATCTGTTTGAGTAACAACCCAAAAAGACACGAACGCCCGTGCAATAAGCGATGATATTCCTAGAATTTAAAATCGAAGAGATCCGAAAGACCTTCCTCGGTGCCTAACGAGAACGAGTAGTCGTTTTCGGAGAGAGGTGGTTCCAAAGTCAGTAGTTGTTCTCCAAAATCGAGAATACTCAGATCTGCAACAAAAGTTAAAGGAATGACGAACTTGCTATATAAAATCCAGCATTATTTACATTAGATCGTTTGCAAACAATTATTTAAGAGAATAATTCTGAAAGCTTTTAATATATGTATGTATAAAAAGATTCAATATATTTAAATATGACATTCCTTTATAATTTTTAAATAAATCACGTATCAGAAAAAGACGAGTTCTTAATTACATTATTAAGAACTATATGTCAGTAATGTAGAATATATAATTTACTTATATATATAGTTTTCTTGTGATGCACCATATAAGTACTTTATTTTATTTAAAAAGTTTGCTATATATCAGTTACAAAGCGGTTAGAGAGTACAATTACTGCATATTGTTAATTTCAACAATGTTTTTAATAGATTGTTTAATTATCTAAGAAAATTGGTATTTGTGGAATCAAAATAAAGTAGTGCTGCAAAATTCGGGTCGATCATATTGATTTCCAAATTACATATATGTTTCCCTTGAAGAATTTTCGGAGAGTTATAATGAAAAGATTTTTTTTTATGAAAAGCGCATCTTGCATCCATGTGGTCATATTAATGTAGCAACATCATACAAAACATAATAGAAGCCAATATAGTTAATATAGATGAACGTACCTTTGCACGACACGAGCTTTGCTGTTTGGAACCGTTACCTAACTAGAACTCTGCCTGTGATGTGATTTTGATAATTTTAACACACAAGTCACAGCCAGAGCTCCATCAGGGTACGGCCATCATCCATTGGTGAAAAGGCAGTGAAATATTTAAAAGAAAGGTAATGTGCTATTAAGTTATATGGAAATATTCAACCTCTACCTTTCTTTTGAATAATATTTGTGTCCACAAGTGATTATTAAATCGTAATACATGCAACACGTTCTTTTCAAATAAGGATGTAATATAACAATTTTGCAAGACAATTATTTCATACACATAATACCTATTTTGCAAAAACTTTCGATGTGAAAAGAACGCTTAAGTCGGAATTTGTTTTAGTAATACAGAGACAAAAAAAGATAAAAATATTTTATTTAAAAAAAGATACAACTATGTATATACAAGGCATAAAGCATTAAACTAAATGAAGCGTTAGAAACTTTGCAGAAGTAAAATACAAGTAAGAATTGAAAAAGAAACGTACAGATACGCAACAATATACAGCAATGTGTATTTGTTAAAATATCAACAGAAATATTGGATTATAAATACGAAAACGAGAAATAAGGACTTTTTTCTCATGTTATACTATATTGAAATAAAGTATTGAAAACTTTTTTCTCTGTTATTCTGCATTAATAAACGCATGTATTTTAATAATTTATATCTCAAATTTCTTGTGAAAACAATATATGTAATAAAAAGCTATTTATTAATCGAGAAATTGAGAAATCTTTAACATATTCTATCAATCTGTCAAAAATGCAAAGAACAACATATTAAAAAATTTATTTATTTTAACGTATAGTGCAAAGAGAATTTCTCGCTCAATTTATGACACCATAATTCAATATAATTGCGTAAGAAAATAGAATGTCAGTTATGAATTCTATGTGCATCGCATAAATATTGATATTTCTGTCGAAAACTGATATTTAATATTAGAAATATGAATATATTTGAAATAAAAAGGAATAAAATATTACATATTTACAAAGTAACACATTGGATTTTGCAACAAAATATATTGATATATTCATTAACAGAATTATATGAAAAATTTTTTTTTTATTTTCTATTTCTATAATTTCATTTTTATTTGTTTTATTACATATTTAAATTTCTTATAATATATTTAAACTGATATAACGTATTTAAATATGCATTTCAATTTATAATTTAATAATATTATCAATGTTACATGATCTATATGAAGATATATTTCGGATTTTTAAAATATAAATGATATATAGAAAAAACATAATTTATAAAATTAAAAAGGAGACAAATAATTTCCTCGTGTGAATAAAATCAATACTAAATAGAAATTGTTTTACAAGATTATAGGCAAAGATAAACAAAGGATATTAATGATTCACTGAAAACAGCTCAAAAAATAAATATTTTTCCCTACTTATTTTCCTTCACAATTTCAGAATTTTTATTATTTTTAAATCGGCCATTAATATAAAATATGAAAGCTTTGTCAAGAAAGAAAGAAAGCAAACTAAACAAGCATTATTTCCCTCTAATCTTACCTGAGCTGATTTGGTCCTCTGTTTGGAGTTGGAATTTGCCACCGCCCATTGGTCCATAATCATCGGATTCGCATAAGAACGCGTCCTTCATGCTTGTTACACTGGTAACTGCAGTCACGGGAGTACTCAGACGAGTATTTATGAAACTCTCATCGGAAGGTACTGGCTCGATTCGCATGTCGCTTTCTCGATTAGCCAACAATTCAGGAGGCAAACAAGGTATATCGGATTCTTTTGATTGAGGCACAGATTGCGTTGTCGCATACCCAGAATAGGATGTTTTGACTGTGGAATCCTCAGGACACAGAAACACATCTATCTCGCCGTGTTCCGATCTCATATGCATTTGAAGCTAAAAACATTAATACAAGTGGAATATAAAATGCATAGTAAATAAATATATATATGGGGCATTCTTTCTCAAATCAGCCACCCCCCTGCGCATTTTATTTTTAAAGATAAAATTTTTTTCGAAGCGTCAAAATTTCCGCCTAAACCTCAATTTTTTG